TTACACTCGTTTGACTGCCCTCTGCTAATCCAGAGGACAAATCTCCACCGCGTGGTGCAGCCGGCAGATGCAGTCGGGACGATAGCTCTCGGTGTCGTGAGCAAACCTTGAGAGTTGCACCTAATGAGCCGAGGAGGGAGCTTTGCCGTTGAGGGGTGCCGTCGTTGCAGCAGGTGAGGGCAGTGGGAAGTGTGCTGCCCCCCCACCCCCTGCCCCCCCCCCCCCGCCATCAAGCCCACACCGCTTACTCAACGTGGAGATATTCATCTCGAGCGCCGATCCCACCCGCATCAACGGAAATGGGAGCTTGCACCTCGGAAGATTAGAATCAGAATCTTAATTTTAAACTGCACAAGGAAACCGGCGAGCTATGAATATCTTTTGCACAGATGTCCCGTGTGGGTGGCGGGACCGCAAGTTACAACGATACAAAAAAGCGATAGGAGTGCAAAATAGAAAATGGTAATCAAGTCACTGAAAATAAATACGTAAATTATTCATTGAAACATATTAGCACGGTTGGCTACGTACAGTGCGAGAGAAGTTCAACATACGTACATGCAGCCCAGTCATTGCCTTTGGGCCCGAAACTATCATCATGATTGTCATCGTCATCATCATCCATGGTCATTCCACTGCTGCACATAGGGCTTGCCCGAGCATCCGCTACCTCTCACGATTTGGCGATGTACTCTAATTCACTTGGCACCCACACAGTAACTGATTTCAACGCTCCATCTCTATGGCGGACGTGCTGTCTCTCGGACGCTACGTCCCATTCTTTTGGAAGCTGCGCCGTTATTTTTCTGCGACCATCATCCACCATCCCATCTGTCCGTTACGTCTCTAATTCGTGCATTCCTATTTCTGTCTCGCTGTTATTCAAATGATGCATCTCCCCATGCTTCTTTGCACACACACATAAAAAAGTTCAATATTTCTTGTGTTTCTAAAGCACATGTCAAAGCAGGCCTTACTTTCGAGGAGCTACATTCACATCCATAAAAGTCGGGGAATTTCAGGTGATTTAAACCAAGTCAAACGTAAGAGGCTACATTAACTAAATAATTGTCACTCCACTGCTCGATGAAGGCCTCCCCCACCCAGTTGGCCAGGGGAATGCTGTTTGGCCTTGTGTCATCACCTCCGATTAGCACGGTTGGCTACGCACGGCCGATCAGTCTGGGTTGGTAAAAGGGGCGGCAGGGGAGGGGGTGGGCAGTGCCATCGGACAGGTTCAGGTGTCACTCACCACCAACGTTCGCCGTTGCCTGGAATCGAACTCAGGTAGCCGGGTTCACGGTGCAATGCACTCACACCCCCAGCAGCCGCACGCATAATTTCCTCAACGTTCAACAGGTAGGATTTCACGACCAATATTATCCGTAATAAAGTTTTTGTTTTGGGTTAGATTGCGTGAATTTAAATGTGTCGTCAAACCCGCTACCACCTGACACAATGCTGGCAAGATTGCCCGATTAAGCTGGATGTAATTACCAGCGAAAAGTCGTACTGAAATTGTAAATGCTGTGGCTTTACTCTCCAACACACCGTTGGACTGAAGTTGTAACTAATTGAAATGTTTTGTTTACGTGACAAACCTTACTGGTTGGTTGTGTCGGGTGGTGGTGGGTTAATAACACGTTCTAACACAAAAAAAAAACCTTTATTATTAATAATTTCCTCTCCGTTACGTTTTTTTGTCAGTCCCTTAAATGCGGTGTGTTCCAAGTGTATACGAACACCACATCATTGACACTAAAACCTCATCGTTCTCGCGATTACCACTGCTTTTTAACAGAAGCGTCCGCTGTGCGTTGGCTAACGTTGTGAGCCACGATCCTTCTTAAGGGCACCAATGGAACTAATATGCCTTCACACCGGTGGTCACGTACAACCCCGGCTGATAAAATCCTTACCTCCCACCACGATCGCGTGAGCTGCGCTCCGAGGACATCGATTGGCATTTAAATATCCCCCCGCGGAAACAACACGCAGTGCTTAACTGGATCCGTGCGAACCAGGGGGGGACGCGGACACCTAAATACACAAGCGGAAAATCCGAGGCTCTCCCTGCTGTGTGTAACTGTGGCTATGATCACCAATCCATGGACCACGTAACATCGCACCGTCCCAAATCTACAGGTGACGGCGGTGGGTGGGTGGGTGGGTGGCTGAGTAGGTGGATGACTAGGTGGGTGACTGGGCGAGTAGGTGCATCTGCGTTACGGCAACTCTCGGGCAAAGCCATCGAGCGGCTAAATCACCTCGAGCTGAATCTTCCCAATAGTTGCCATTCATAGGCCACTCGACAACAAAATTAAGACATTGCCGCTAATCTCCGTGGGCGAGCTCCAGCGCCGTTGATAAATATTCTGCGAGATGGATTTTGGCTCCCGGTGGCCGTGCTCCGCAGGGGCTATTCGGGGACAGCGCTTAATGGCACGCTGAATTATTTATTTTCCGGTGCACCCGTCCCCGTGTCAATCAGAAAACCCTGCCCGCGAGCGATTCCCTCGGGCGCGAAGTGGGGGTGGGGTAGCAGGGGGCTGGATTGGGGGGCGGGGGGGGGGCTGCAGTTCGCCGCGGCCCCACTCGTCCGCCCGGGGGGGCGGCTGTGGCGGCGGTGTCGTCAATGGAGCCGTGCGTGGCGGGGTGCGTGCATTGCCGTTAAGGCCCTTGCCGTAATTACTTCCAAGGTCTTGATCCACTCGGTGCCAATTAATTACTTCTAATCAGCCAGGTAAACACTGTTTACGTATGGTGTGCCTCCACGTGCTTGTTGTCAGTGTTTCTTATCCGTCTGGGGCAGCGGTTTTTGCCCAGACCGCTCTGCTCACAGCCAGAAGGTTGCGAGTAAGTTCAAATCCCGGCCAGGAGTTGTCTCGGAGTAAGTAAAATGAGCAATGATATCAGCTTGTAATGTGCCACTGAGTGCTTTCCGCTCGCTCACGCAGAGAAGAACCGCAGGCAAGCACGAAGGCAACCGCGCGATGAGCCGGCAGCACCATCGATTGCCCAAGCACTGCAGTCCTTTTTTTGTTAAGGTGTTTCAGCCAATTAAATCTTGACTTAAAGCTTTCGTGACTGCAGGAATTCATATTCTTTGGGTCTTTCGGTGAAGTCACGTAGAAACACAAAAACATGTCGTTCTACGTGACTTTACCGAAAGACCCAAAGAATAATTCAGCCAATTAATGAGTGCTCACATATGGAATGAAAAATAACGCGGAGCACCTGGAAAAAAACCCCACGAATGCGAGTGGAAAACATGCTATGCCATGCAAATGGACCAGGTGGAGTCCACATTTTTTGCTGGACTGCCTTCTCCTGACAAGCCAGGGTGTGTATGACACCTCAAAACCTTCATTAATGGTGTTTCGCAAAAACATCTGTGCGATCCACCAACCCTCACATGTGCAGCCAACAGAGCCACAACCGCACGGCTGTGACACTCCTTTGTGGGACGCTTGGTTAGCCCATGAGAGCCAACTGTGGTCAGGACGTCAACAGTGGTCATCTTGTGGAGAGGCTGGCCACGGTGGCGAGATGTCATCTCCCTCGCCTGGTATGCAGGAGGTCATGGGTTCGATCCCAACCCTGACACCTGCTGTATGTTTTGGGTTTTCATGTGGTCCTGGTCGTGTGGGTTTTCTCCGGGTCCTCCATTTTTTTCCTCCACATTTCGAATTAACGCGTGTTTACAGTATTTGGCTTCTATAAATGTACAGGTAATAAGCCACTTCGTTTCAGCTATCATTTGTGATGGCCAGGTCGCTTCTGAAAAAGAGCTATATATATAGCTCAGCAGGCCTTACCTGGTGAAATAAAAAAAAAGTTAATAGTTTTATATACGTGGCTGTTTGCATGCGGTTGTGGATGGTGTGTGGTCTGTGAAAGCCAATCTCGTAAGAATATTTCGAGGAGATGGCAGCACAGGGAGCTTGTTTTTGTACTACGCTCATGTTTTTGTACTGTTGTTGTTACGTTTTTGTACTCGTCCCTACTGGACGTCTGTGAAAAAAGAGCTTTACAGCTCATCAGATTCCTCCAGTCTAAATAAATTTTGGGTTTCTGATTCTTCACGCGCGAAGTTGCAATCTCAACGCCGTCATCATCGCGGAATTGTAGTGCAGGGCCAGAAAACGGCGAGTTTTCTAACAAGATGCAAAACAATGTGTGTGTGGGGAGGGGGACGCGCCTGCAGCCATTGTGCATGTGCAACAACAAATTCGCATCATCATTTACCTGATGAGGTGCAGAAGTGGTCATCTTGCGACGCTGCTTTCACAAATTCTGCTGCAGGCACCTTCGATTGGTGCTGTGCCACTCACATGTGATGAAGAATGCTGGTGTGTGATTGGCAGCATACAGCACTTTGTTTCTATCGTCAGGGGGCGTCATGTAGGCTGTATGTGTGTATGTGGATTGTAAAGCTTTTCTGACAAAATCCATATCAGTTTCTTTCTGCCACTGACCCATTATTGCGATCAGTATTTACATCCCTGCGGTGTTGCGGTCCGTTTTATTTAACTTATTTTACGTATATATTTGAGAAAATGTTACTCGAGATTGCACGGTTGCCACGGTTATATAGGTTGACCCCGTTTTACGTGGAGGGGCAGACGATAATTTGTCGACTGCCGCAGAACCATTAATGACTATTGAGCCACTAATGGAGGTTTAAAACGTGTTCCTTTTTTTTTTACGCTTGATAGGCCACTCGCAGTCAGCCAGCCAGCCTGCCTGCCTGCCGCTCTGCTGTTTTGGCTTAGCTCCCCCGCCGCCATCGTCCATCGCTCTCCAACCCGCCCGCCCTCCCCGAGCCAGCCGTCCCCCGCGCTCTTTTTTTTGTTTGCGTCCGACATTTCACGCGTTGCCCTCGCTGCCGCTGGAGCATCCGACGGAACAAGCTGGAACACGACTCGAGGTGGCGCGCAATTCACCATGTGTGCTCTGCCCCCCCCCCCCAACCTCCCCGCCCTCCCGTGTCGTTTCAGGGCTCCACGGTCGCAAGGGAAGCGAGTGAGAAAGAGAAGGTGAGCACGGTTCATGGTTGTTGTCGGTTTTGTTGTTTTTTTACCCCGAGAAATTTTTTGCGACGGTGCGTTCCACCACAAACCCCGCGGCGTGCGGGCACTCCTCCGTCAAGGGCGACGCGGTGGGGAGACGTTAACTACCTGGTCCAGTATGTAGGAGGTCGTGGGTTCAAAACCTGACCCCTGACGCCTGCTGTATATTTTGAGTTTGCGCGTGTCTCTCTCTCTCTGCCCGTGGTCGTGTTCGATTTTTCTCCGGGGTCCCCCGGTTTTTCCCTCCACGTTTAGAATCAACATCACACGTTCAGTGTATTTTGGCTACTGTACATTTCCACGAGATAGGTCACCTCGTTGGACTGTCATTTGTGTTAGCCATGTCGCTTGTCAAAAAGAGCCATATATGCTGAGTCGTGGGCCTTACCTGATAAAATAACATAAAAATTGTTTAAGCCAGCAAACCGAGTTCGATTCCAGGGAAGGGCCGACATCGGTGGCGAGTAGTATCTGAAATGGTTCGGCACCCGCCACTATACCGAACCAGAATCTATTTAGATGGGAGGAATCCACTGAGCTACGAAGCTCTTTTTCACATTCGTGGTGAAGCAAGATAAACGGCTCCCCGTGACCCGACGTTGAAGGCAAGAGGGCCTTTATTCTGCAGTGGCTCGACAAAGAGCTATACATTATTCAAATGCAATTATTACTACGATAGTTTACTTGCTGAGAATAACGCGCGGCTTCTGCAGAACCCAGCGCGGGTGGGGCGGAGGGATGGTTGAGGTCTGCGGTGTGTATCCCTGCCGGTGACGTTACGCTCCGCGTGCCGGCAACTTCGTCGGCAACTGAATGGGTGGGTGTTGGGTTGAGTTCTCCCGACCGGCGTGATCCGGATATCGCGCGCCAAACGGCACGTGACCTGAGCAAAGAATAGCCCGCCGGAGAGCTCTGCGTGCGACCGTGAGAACCGTGTCACCCCCAGGCGCCGGGAAAATCCTCCTCACTCAAACGTTTCGGTCGGGTCCTCTTCACTTCCTCTCCCCCGGGTGGTGATCGGCAGATGACGAGGCCGCTCTGCGCGTCGGTGACAATTTCCACGCGATAAAGCCGCTTTCTTCGAGCTATCATTTGTCGTCAGGTCGCTCCTGAAAAAGAGCTACGTAGCTCAGCGCGCGGGGCCTTTCCTCAAGCCAGCGGATGGTGGTGAGGCTGCTGGTCCGTGTGGAGTGCAATTCTCCTTCCGGTGAAACTCGCCCGTGTACACCCGTTGCCTGCGCGTGATATTCGTTGGCGTCGAAGCCATGGCGGTTATCTGGAGTTTATTTGTGGCCAGGTCGCTTCTGCAGAAGAAGCTAGTGGCTCTGTGGGATTTACGTTTTTAATTTAAAACAGTTAGTTTGTTTTGTTTTGTGATTTGCGTATCTTTCCTATACTTTGCACTCCTATCGTGTTTTTCTTTTGTTGTAACTTTCTGACCCCGTAACCCTACTGGGCATCTGTGTGCTTTATAGCTCATCGGATTCCTCCAGTATCATTAAAAGAGTCTGATTATGGTTTGCAGTAGCAGGAGAGGATGTCACTTACGCGGATTTGGAAAAGAGTCATTTGGTATTGTTCCCCCCCAGTGTTGACGCCGTAAATAGCCAATCAGTGCGCAACCGAAAGTGGGTTGATACTTTCTTATTTTCTTGAATTAACTCTTGTATTGAGGGTGACATTTTAAGTGGGTGCTGATCCACTTTTGATCAGCGGGAGTAAAGCGATCTTGATCCAGAGAGCTCTCACACCCCGGGAAATTGATTTCTCTGAAAATTACTTCTGGTGGGGGAAAATGTGGGTACCCACCACCTCTTCCGACCTGTCCGGCGCGAGTGTGGAGGATTTTAACAAGACGCAGCGGCGTGCTGCTGCTCGCAAAGAACGGGAAGGGGTGTGCCTCCCAATCATGCCTTTGCACTTCATGTCATGTGACTAGCACATTGCATGCGCAGTACCGATTGTGAGCAGCGCGCGTCCGTTGTTGTTAAGCCCGTTGTTTTCCAGCCTACGCACATTTGCTCGTCGCGTGCTCCAATGCGGTTTGCCATCATTTGCCGAAAGCATTGGATTCGAATTAAGTGGGCAGGAGTAGTCTACATTTTGCGAGGGGGGGTTAACCTTTATGCAGCGGCTTGATACATACATTCTTCTCGTGCTGACGAGGGAGGTTTCCCTGTAGTAATAATTGCATTTAATAATGTATAGCTATTTGTCGAGCCATTGATGGATGAAGGCCCTCTTGCATTCATCGTCCCGGTCACGGGGGGGGGGGGCGTTTTATCTTGCTTCATCACGAATGTGAAAAAGAGCTTAGTAGCTCATTGGATGCCTCCAGCCTAAATAGAGATTCCTGTTCTGAATAGCGAAGTGTGGGCCCCGGACCATTTCGGGTATCACTCACCACTGAGGTCGGCCCTTCCCTGGCTGAAACTAAACTATTGTTTTTTTTTTTTACCAGGTAACGCCCACTCAGCTATATAGCTCTTTTTTCAGAAGCAATCTGGCGATCATAATGATAGCTCAACAAAGGGGCTCATCACGTGGAAGCGTATAGCAGCCAAATACTCGAAACGCATGTTGATTATAAACGTGGCTTCATTGTGTCGTACGCTAACCACGATGCCACCGCTCCTCTCTGTAGTGCCTGTAAGGTATTCTCTAATGCAATATTGGGGTTTAGCCAGTGCATCCTAGACTCTCGGCACGAGAGCATGGGGTTTTTTTAACTGTTTAATTGAGCTTTTTAATTTTACTAAGTTAAGGCCCACTGAGCTATGGAGATATTTTTCAGAAGCGACCTGGCTATCACAAATGATAGCTCAACGACGTGGCTTATCACGTGGAAGTGTATGGCAGGCAAATACTCTAAACATATGTTAATTCTAAATGTGGAGCGAAAAACCGGAGGACCCCGGAGAGAAATCTACCAGACCACGGGGAGAACATGCAAACTCCAAATACACAGGCATCAGTCTAGATCGAATCTACGACCTCCTGTATACCCGGCGAGGTAGTTAACATCTCGCCACCATGGCACCCAGTGTAACTGGCATTGACCAAACATCCCAATGCTGAACAGATTACTTGCACGTTTTTCAACTTGGATCGCACACAGCAGCAACAACATCGGCCGCCACTACAAAAACTTGGCAAATATACAGCAGGCGTTTGGGGGTCGGGATTTAACCCGCGACCTCCTGCACACCAGGCGAGGTAGTTAATATCTCTCCAAAATCTGAGCAGATTAGGCCGATTGTTATTCATGGTGAGTACGCGTGCGCACGTGTGGGGTTGCACGTAGCGCTGGCCGGCAGGGTTGGCTAGATGAATTTTTTGACACCTTTCACTTTTGAGCGAAAAATCTATTGTGGAACGATGCCGTTAAAGTACATTTTGCTCGAGCAGCTGCTCTCTCCTTGGAAATGAATTGGTTGTTAGCAAGCCAGCGTGATGATATACAACAGCTGCCGTAGCCCTCGCTCGCTCGCTCGCTCGCTACTGCTGCTCCAATAACAGCATGCAGGTGATGTGGAGACGATGTATTTTTTTGCCTTTTATGATGCACTATGACCACACGTCTGGATCCTTCCTTGCAATTTTATTTGTGTATGTCTTTTGTTTATCTTCCCACCCGCAATGTGCTGAGTAATAATGTAATACTAGTAATAACATTTTGGTCGTTACGTGTACATTTTCTTTGGTTCTTTCGGTAAAGTCACGTAGAATGGGAATAAAATAATAAATTGATAAAATCAAATAACACAATAATATTCTCACGACGTTTCGGCCACAACACAAGCAGCCTTCATCAGGTGAAGGGACGAGACTGTCTGGTAGGACAGCGCTGTCCCGCTTGTGTTGTGGCCGAAACGTCGTAAGAATATTATTGTGTTATTTTATTTTATCAATTTATTATTTTATTCTCATTCTACGTGACTTTACCGAAAGAACCAAAGAAGGTGTACATTTTGTCTAGTGCGGAGCCACAGACAAAAGCTGGAAGGCAGCAGCCAGGCAGTCAACCATTGCTACCAAACAATGGCTCAAGCTCTGCAGGCCTCTCTGTATTCACCCTTTCCCGTTCCAATGATGTACGTGCGTGTATGTCATTGAAGCTGAGTTTGAAGTAAAAGGCAATGCGGGGGGGGGGGAGCGTGTGGCACAGTTTGGCGCCAGCTATCGTAGAGTGCAGTGGTCGTGTCGCCACAGTTCTCTGCGGTGAGTACAGTGTCTTTAAAAACAGCGGCGCTACGCCAAATAAATGAATAATCTTATGCTAACCGCTTAGCGAGTTTCGAGATACAGCAGTAAACGGGGGACACCCACCCTGCAACTTGCAGACATCTCGGAACAGGAAAGGGGTTAGGTGTTTTCAGCCAAGGAATGAACGTTTATTCAAGTGGGAGGAAATCGGAGCAGCCAGAGAAAAACCCGCGCATGTGAGGGGGCAACACTCTATCCCCGTTCAGATGGGACATTATATGAGGCCACACTTTGCTTTACTGCCTTCTCCTGGCAAGGCAGGATATGGCTGCTCCTCGATGCTCGCGTGAACGGAGGTTGGTAACGTCCGTTCGATCCACCAACCCTCGCTGCCTACACGGTGCTCGATTACAGACTGTGCATAGCCACCACAGGTCCTGCTATAATGGTGGGGCTGGGAGAGGGCTCAGGAAGCGGATAGGTTCCTTATACGTGTATGTATGTACGTTGAACTTATTTCTCACCGTACGTAAGCCAACTGTGCTAATAAGAGGTGCGGGGGAAGGCCGACAAGCTAAACACAAAAAAGCGGTTAAAAAGAAACGGGTTTTCAATCTACGTTTAAAAGTGCATAGCTCCAGTGACTTCCTAATATCGGAAGGGAGAGCGTTCCAGATGGCCGGAGCAGCGCATCTGAAAGCGCCGCGCGATGCGGTGTCTGTCTTTGTTGGATGGCTAGCCGAAAGCCGCTGCTACGAGGA